CCCCGCTTAGCCACTGCAGCGACGTCCCTCCACGGAGCCAACTTCTAAAAGGTCCGATTTTGTGCTCCGCGGCTCTAGCACTTGCCAGAAGCGGCCGGCGGAGGCCCCTCCCCCGCCGTCTATCCTCCCGAATATCGCCTCGGATTCACTTCTCCGCACGTCCTACCTTCCAGAAAGTGGTCACTTTCTGTTCAGAGAGTTGTTGCTACTCTCTTCTTCGGTCTCCTGTTGAGTTCGTAGGTGTTCAGAATGGTTTGATCCCTATTCAGCTGAATTCCTGAGACCAGACGAAATCTAGGTCTCCTACTCCTCCGCCATCTTGCTCCGCCTCAAAAGGATGTATTTTTAAATGGCATATTGAGAATGGCCTCGACTGTGGCTTATGTGGCTTCTTCAGCTTTACCCTGCTTGCCCGCCCAGGTGATTGCACAGGTGCTGGAATCCGGGGATTTCTCCGCTGTTGCCTAATGCAGCGAGAATGGAAGCTCGGTGAGGACAAGGGTTATGTCGTTGGTGCTACTGCTGAATTCCCAGCACATGGAATGCTGCCTGGGAAGTAGTGGTTTCTCATTTGTCTTGGGAGCATTCACATCTTTTAAAATAGTAGGCTTTCTAGAGCTCTGTCTCACTCTGTCCATATAGAACATTCCGTGGGGTTTATGCGCCGGCCACTGCTCTGAGGGCTTTATGCAGTTCCTTATTACAACCCTATGAGGTGTTGTCTCTCCTAGCTTACAGATGGGAGGCCAAGAGCGTGCATCTGGTTAGGGAGAGCCAAGATTTGGACTCAGCCACCATGGCTCTGCCCCCGGGCCACTGAGTGGTGATGTATGAGGGCTTCTCATCCTGTGTCACCTTCAGGCTTCCATCTCCAAACAGATTTGAAAGGATGTCTGGTTTTCTCTTCTGTGATTTTTCAAAGCTACATCCTCCTCGGGGGTATCAAAAAGTATTCTAAGACAGATGTAGATTTGTCAAAACTACTAAGTTTGCCAAAAATCATTGAACTGTACACTTAAAATGGGTTTATCTTACTGTACATAAATTATGCCTCAACAAAATTGATTTTTACACATATTCTCATCAAAAAGTCAAACATGTGGCTGGGTGATGGACACTGGGGAGGGTACAGTTGGTGGTGAGCACTGTGTATTGTGTAAGACTGATGAATCACAGACCTGTACCCTTGAAACAAATACTGCATTATATGTTAATAATAAAAGAAAGTCAAACATGATTTGGAAAATTTTAATTAGAGAAGAAATAAAGTAGAGAAAGAAACCTTCACTAATGAGAAAGAGCCCAGCCTCTTGGAGAAAAGTTATAATGGCTGTGTTTTCTGAGCTATTTAAAACAGCAAGAAGTTACTTTACTTTGATTTCCATCCCCAGGGAAAGGAAAACCTCTTCAGCGCAAAGTGAAACCACCTAAGAAGCAAGAAGAAAAGGAGAAGAAGGGAAAGGGAAAGCCACAGGAAGATGATCTGAAAGACTCCCTGGCTGATGACGACAGCTCCTCCACCACCACAGAGACCTCCAACCCTGACACAGAGCCTCTCCTCAAGGAGGTATGACGGGCTCCCATAGACGGGAGAAGGAGGTGCCCCCCGCAGCGCTCAAGACACTGTCTCCTAGATCAGGCTTAATTATCTTTTACGTAGGCGTGTGCTCTGGGGAGTCCTTGCCCGTGTGCACAGGCATGCCCGAACAGTCAGCCCCCAGGATGGAGGGCTTCATTTCCCCCAGGCAACACCACCGGCAAGCATGTTGGTAAAGTACAGTAGTTAGAAATTGGAAACACGGCTTGAAACTTAGGGATTCTCTGGAATAGTAACTACTCTGGCTCATGAAATTTGTTTCAAATTTTAAGTCTTAAAAGAGGATGAGAAGGACCTAGACCGTTTTCGTTTTATGGGACTTTTCCTGTCTTGTCGCTCCTGGTACACCAGCCTTCAGTAGCTGCTCACTCCTCCCACAGTTCGGGCCGTGACTGTCCTGGAGGGGAAGGGGGCCCAGGGAAAGACGCCGCACGTCAGTAGTCACCCAGAACTGGGGACCCAGCTCAGCACACATTACATCCAGAAAGCCGCCTCGCTTCTCAAAATCCTGCGCTCTCAGGGTAGTCACCAGTGTCAGATAATACTGCAGAATGCCTGGTACTTAGTGGCATTAGGTAAATGGAAGGTAAAGTTACCGTTGTGAGCAGGTCTGAGAGTGTGAGTTACACTCACAGTTACACTCACTGCAGAAAAGTGAGGGCATAGTTCTATTTTGGCATTTTTATTTTTAGATAACTGTATTCCAAATTTAATATGATCCTAATATAGCCTTTAATAATATAGGCCCGAATTTCTTTTTCAGTTCTAATCTAGTGACCTAAGGAACCATTTCTTAAAAGATACCTAACAGCATCATCTGCATGTGTTAATTTTTTAATGAAATTTACATGTGACTTATTTTTCTTGTCAGCTCCCTTCCCCATCATGTCCTTCACATTTGGTGGGGTGCTCTGTATGCCCTCAGTACAGTGCATAGTACTGGACTTCTGTACTGTATTATATCCTTTCTAACAGATTCCTTCAGAGAAGCAGAATGCCATCTTCGGTTTGAGTGGAATCCCAGCAGTTTCGATGATACGAATAAGCATTTGGAAAGCATTTTCAGGGCAGGCTTTCTTCACATTTCCTCACTTCTTTTCCTGCCCTTCCGGCTTTTCTCCGAACGCTTCTCTCCAGCTGACCCCATCTGCCACCATTCTCTGTGCACCCCCTGGCATCATTCTCCCCTCTCCGTTCGCTTCCTCCTGCTCTTTCCATCTCCTTCCCCACCGTTTGTTTCTTACAGACACAGCACAGACTCCGTGTGGCCTCCATGCCCGCTCTCCTCCCTTCTGATCAGTGTTTAGTTGTCCTCCTCAGTGCTCCTGCATATAGTTTGTGTGCTTTTGTTTCTTGGTGACTGATCTGTTTGCCAGTTGTGTGTGTTTTCTTCCTAACTAGATAACAGACTCGACAGGTTACTATCCCATAGATGGCTTTTCCAACCTTCTTCTACCCATTCATTCAAAAAGGAAGGCTCGAGTGGAATACTACACGGCCATTAAAAAGGGATGAGCTCCTGCTATTTGTGATAGCATGGATGGAGGAGGTTATACCAGGTGAAAAAAGTCAAACTGAGAAAGACAAATACCACCTGCTTTCACACATGTGTGGAATCTAAAACAAAACAAACAAAAAGCAGAATCAGACCCACAAATACAGAGAACAAACTGGTGGTGGCCAGAGGGGAGGTGGGTAGGGGGAATGGGCAAAATGGGTGAAGGGGAGTGAGAGATTCAGGCTTCCAGTTGTGAACTGAGTAAGTCCCAGGGATGAAGGGCACAGCATAGGGAATGTAGGCCATGAAACCACAGTAGCATTGTATGGGGACCAACGGGAGCTACACTTGGATGAGTGCAGCATAACATGTAGAGGTGTCTAATCACTGTACTGTACACTTGAACCTTAACGTAACATTTGTGTTGGCTGTACTCAAAATCTTTTTTAAGGCAACTTAAAATGAAAAAAAATTCAGTATTGAGCACCTGAGTGCCAGACCTTGTACTTGGGAAACAACAGAGGACAAAAAGACCATCTTCTTGTCCTCAAAGAGCTCATGGTATACAAAGTCCTTGATGAGTCAAGTGTCCTAGAACTACTTCCTGAATAACTCAGTCTTAAAAGGTGTGTGGGCAAGAGGGTGGGTTAGCCCTTTCTCTGGTTATTTATTCCTGACAAATAGATTGACCTGATGTGACCTATTAAAACCCAAGTTGCCTTATGGAACACTACATCAAAAACTAATGATGTATGGTGATTAACATAATAAAAAAATTAAAAAAAAAAACCCAACTTGCCTTAATGTCCATAAATAGTGAAGCTGGGTAGGTCTCATTTACCTTGTGCCAGTAACTCCTCCCATAGCCACAGCTGTGCCATTCTGCCGAGCATGTCCTTCCCCCATCCGTGCCCCTGATTAGCCTCAGTGCATCCTTGCACATGGTGCTGCTCCAACCATGTGTGATGAAGAACCAGGGTGTTTTTTCTTTCCAGTCTGTCATACAGGTGGTCCTACCGCACATAAGTAGTACACACCCATTCCACATGCAACTCCCCAGCAAGTTCAGTAAGACCTGAACAGATCTATGCCCTGTTTGGGAGACAGGGGCACTGGTCTCATGCTTGGATGCCCCAACAGTGTGGACTTACTATAAACATGCCTCAGTGCGGCTTCTGTACTTAACCTGGTCAGGGACCAGGAACCAGAGTGGGCAGACCAGTGACATAGCACAGCTCTCAGGTGCAGCTTAGGTGTGACCTCAGTGCAGGCTCCACACTCAAGCCAGGTAAGACAATCCTTCTCTGGTCAGAGCCCGTGAACAGTTCTCCACCAGGGTACAAGTTCATCCCCAGCCATCGTATGCGTCTGCCTGCTAGACTTCACATGAGTCCTCGGGGAAAGGGTTGGGGCCCCGTGGGCCCCCACTGCCTAGCACCAAGTGGGTGACCAGTAAGTGTCAGTTGAGCGAGTGAATGAATAACGAAGCCCCTCTCGTTGACAGTGAATGGATAGCATTAAACCCACCGTAACACTTTCATAGTCACAGCGTCGCTCGGGAACACTTCGTGAACAGGTGTGAACACTTTACTGCTGCCTGCACTGCTTTCTTGCCCTGGATTTTACCTGTACTTAGGATTAGCAACATTGCCAGAAGTATAGAACTTTATATTGTACTCCAAGCTGACTTTTCTTATAAAAGAGCAAGGTTTTCTCACCCGGTGCTTAAAAATGAGAAGCTGCCAATTTGCTGCTGCTGCTGCTGCCACCACCCACCCCAGGCAGGCCATCAGGATAAATAAAATAACATTCTTTATAATTCAGGCTCGCCCAAACATAATTATAAATCAAAGGCTAAAAAATTGACAGAACTACAGTAAAGATAGAAAGGAGTTTGTTGTTTTTCAACATAACGTGTTGTATCTGCTACGTCTTTGGTTTTGTGTCTCTGCCTTCATCTAGGACTGTATCATTCATTTTTATGAATCCTTTCAGCAATTAAGTATACATTTTTTTACAGGATACAGAAAAGCAAAAGGGAAAACAAGCCATGCCTGAAAAACATGAAAATGAAATGTCTCAAGTGAAGCAAAAAAGCAAAAAACTCTTAAAGAAAGAAATCCCAACAGATGTGAAACCCAGGTAAGAAAAATAAATGTATGCAGAGAAATCAGGTATCCATAAGAAATGACTGGTGAAATGAGGTCATGTTTTTGTGGTGAGTTGGTTACTATGGGATTTCTGCAGCAAAAGCCATGACTGCATTGTGTTCCTCTTGGGTCTTTTCTAATGCCTAGTGTTGACTGGGGACCACATGCTGCTGTCAGACATGGAAAAGGCAGAGTTAATGACTTGTTATGAAAATTTAGGATGAAATTTTAGGTTGGTAATTTGTTCCCAGGCAGAGAGCCATTTCAGTTCTATACAAAGGTGACCTGGATGGTTTAACCACAGGTAGGAGCATAACTTTTCTCAAAAAGAGCTCCGAATCTGTTCACTAACCCAGAGCTGCAATTGGGTTCTAGACTTCTGTGCCATAAAACTTGAAAAAATTTATTCTTACCTGAAAAATGCACAGGGCAGAGGCACCTGGGTGGCTCAGTCAGTCAAGCGTCCGACTCTTGGTGTCGGCTCAGGTCATGATCTCAGGGTCCTGGGATCAAGCCGGGAGTCGGGCTCTGCGCTCAGCGGGAAGTCTGCTGGAGATTCTTTCCCTCCCTCTCCCTATGCCCCTCCCCTTCTTCCTTTCTCTCTCTCTCATTAAAAAAAAAAAAAAAAAAAAAAAAAAGGCAGATATCCTCTATCAACAAGAATTAACTAGGAAATAACTCCATTCCAGTCACCATGGAACAGGATTCTGGTGGGCCCCACAGGGAAGGCTTGCCATAGAATGTTTCCTCAAGTAAATGAAGGAGTTGAACTGTTAGGTCATTAACTAAGGTTATTTTCATTAAACCTTAGATCTACCAAATTAGCTTATTTTAGTTTTAACATTGTCTATGCCCTTCATAGTTGATCGTATAAAATGGCCATCAGCATGTAAGCTGATATTTACCTTCTTGTGTGATAAGTGAACATTGACCTAGGAAGTTGAAGGAATTGGGTGTAAATTACTAAAGGAAAGCATTGTTTTTAGAATTGGCCTTACATTTTTGGAAGGTCAGTTTTACTCTGATTCTGGGACTAATATGTGAGCTTTCCAGAAACACCAGTAAACTGGAGTCTTTCCCTAGACGGCTTAACTCAGGCACAGGCAGTGTCTTCCATAGGACCAACAGCTCCTGAGAAATTAGGTGTTAACTATAGTGAAATGAAACCTCGTCCCTGAATTTATGAACTAATACAGCATATGGCAGTCATTAATTACTAATGGAATATTTATACCTAAAATTCACTCGTGTGCAAATTGTTACTGGATCCAATCCCACAGTTTGTTGAGAACAATCTGACCCAGCTAGAATCAATGTCAAGTGGAGTAATGGTTGATACACTTGGATCTCTCCTGAGAGAAATCAACCTAAGGCACTAATTAGTGCTAACAACATTCTGGCACCCCAGGACTGGAATAATACTCCAGTGATTAGGGATTATTCTTCTAGGTCTTTTTCAGGCTTAGGTGATTAATCAGATATTCTTAAGTAAATGGGGCTAAAAAATACAAATTATGAAAAAACATAGTTTTCATGGAGATCTTGTGAGAATAGACAATCATGCTGTAATTCTTATCACACATTTAAATACCAACCTTCTAAAAATTATCGTAACAAAACCATTCCGTAGGTGACTTTTGCCAAATCTGCATGATTAGCCTTGATGCCTGAGCTGTCAGACATAATTTTTTAAAATAGATATTACATGCTAATTCTTACCTTCATCTCTTTTCCACTGACTTCTGTTATATTCCAAATTTTTATGAAATAAATTGACCATTAGCAGAATTACTATAGCAAAACCATTCCACAGGGGCCTTTTACCCATTCTGCACTGTGTATTAGCCTCGATGCCTGAGCTCAGAGACAAACTATTTTTTATACAAATACTACATGTTCATTTTTACCCTCATCCCTTTTCCTCTTCTACAGTATTGACTTTTTTTATAAAATAAGTTGACCATTAGCAGATTTGATTTTGAACATTTTATAAAAAATTTCCTTGAATGCCACCAACTGTATGGATTTCGAGTTCTCTGGTTAACAGAAAGCTACAAGAGCCTGTTCCCTGCTGGCTCTCTGTCAAGGGACAGTTACAAGGATAACCTGTGTCCTTTGCTACATAGTTAAGAGAAAAAACCATTACCAGCAAGATGGTTTAAGTAGTGTCTTCTGAGTTGTCTTTTAAAATTGTCTTTTGTAACTGGAGAAATCCATATGCAACCTTACTCTTCTGCTCTCCTTAATCTAATCTCTTTAAACTCACCAATCTTGGGCGCCTGGGTGGCTCAGTCCGTTAAGCGACTGCCTTCGGCTCAGGTCATGATCTTGGAGTCCCTGGATCGAGTCCCGCATCAGGCTCCCCGCTCAGCGGGGAGTCTGCTTCTCCCTCTGACCCTCCCCCCTCTCACGTGCTCTCTCGCTCTCATTGTCTCTCTCTCTCAAATAAATAAAAATCTTAAAAAAAAAATTGTTAAGAAAAAAACTCAACAATCTTGTTTTGTGTTTTCCCAAACTCAGTTGGATGAAAGTATTAAAAGAGTCAGAATTCATTAGTACATCACTCAAATATGGAGTTAAACAAAGACTTTTTTGTTTTTGTTTTCACAAGGAGTAGACCATATATTCTCCTTTTTATTTAAATTCAGTTAATTAACATATAATGTATTATTAGTTTCAGAGGTAGAGTTCAGTGATTCATCAGTCTCATGTAATACCCAGTGCCCTCCTTAATGTCCATCACCCAGTTACCCCATTCCCCCTACCAGCAACCCTGTTTGTTTACTAAGAGTCTCTTACAGTTTGTCTCCCTCTCTGATTTTGTCTTGTTTTATTTTTCCCTCTCTTCCCCTATGATCCTGTTTTGTTTCTTAAATTCCATGTATCAGGGAGATCATACAAAGACTGGCTTTTTTAATAACCAGAAACGTGACCTCTCTGAATAGAGCCACTCCCTGTCTACACTGAGTTATGACAGTCTGTCATTCAGGTAAAATCACTGCCAGTCCTAATATTAGTGGTACCCAAAACTCCTGTCACCCTAGAAATGCTGTGGGTTACTCTGTGGTTCTACAATCTGAAGGGTATAGATACACTCTTAAAAAGAGATACCACTAATAAGGCATATATGTATTATCATCTTCTTTTGAAAGCTTTATGTGATTGGGAATAAATGTCTGTTCCATATATTAGTAAGCCAAAACACTGATATTCTAAGATTAATAAAATCTGTGGGCTTCGTTCACATTTGCTTTATCAAAAATTAGTCTTTAAAATATTGTCAATATTATTGGGATGTTATGCTATCTCTAGGCTACAAGACCCAATCCTTAAATGCTGAGGAACCTGTTTTCTTATAAATAGGTGTTGATAAAGCCAGAGCACTGTCTCAGTCATGGTCTCTGCCTGTGCAGCCACATCCTACCATACTCCCACAAGTTCGTTTCAAAAAATCATTTCCTGGGAGTGTGGAGCATAGTGTTGCAATGGCAGAGACCTGTCAGTCCATCTGGCCAGCTTCGACACCATAGAAGTTGTCTGCTTATTTATCAACACTTTACATGACTACATGACTTAAATGTAATAATCTAAAATGGGGGGGGGAAGAAGTCCTCATAGAATAATTGTACTCTCTACTACTCTGCTCTAACAGCACACTCAGCTCAGGGCCGTGGGCACCACATTTCACACCCTGGCTTCCAGACCTGTGAGCACTGGGAAAGCCCTCACCTTGGCTTCAGCTCTCTGCCTTCCCCATTCCCCAGATAGGGGCATAGACTGTGTATTACATGAGCAAAAATAAAGCCTGGCATCTGAACCACCAGATCGGAAAAACCACAGGTTTTTCCCTTCTAGAAAGAATCATTTAAATTAGATAGGCTCTTACCTATTTTATTCAGAAGCCTTTAAAAAAGGTTTCTTGATAAAGATCATCTAGCTTAATTTTGGAAAGTATGAATCAGCAAAAATAAAATAGTTGTCTGACACCTTTCTTCTTAAAAAACCAACTGATTTTACAGTGGCACAGAGTTATGCTTTGTATAAATAGCCCCCACCCCCCATACTTATAAATGACTTAAAAATAACTGCACACCCACCTCCAGAGGGCTGGGTGTCTGTTTCATGGGAGCCTTTGTTGTCGTCGTTTTTTAAATAGAGTTTTTTTTTTTTAAAGATTTTATTTATTTATTTGACAGAGACACAGCAAGAGAGGGAACACAAGCAGGGGGAGTGGGAGAGGAGGGAGAAGCAGGCTTCCTGCTGAGCAGAGAGCCTGATGCGGGGCTTGATCCCAGGATCCTGGGATCATGACCTGAGCCGAAGGCAGATGCTTAACGACTGAGCCACCCAGGCGCACCTTAAATGGAGTTTTTAAATAACACTGTCAATCAGAAGTAGAAGGACATGGAAGATTTATAAAACTGTAGCATTAATACTCTTGCTCGTATACAGTGAATTCTTTCACGTTGGTTTGTTAACCTGCCAAAAATTCTACTTATTTGGGTTAACAGCGCCCTTTGGGTTTTTGGTTAGCTCTTTTACTAATTCTGAATATAATATCTATTTATTATAGAAAATATGTGAAATAGAGAAACAAAAGAAAAGAAAATGACCTTTAACCAACTACCATATAAATATTTGTAAATAGCCTATTTTAAAATGTGTTTATTTAGGGGCGCCTAGGTGGCTCAGTTGTTAAGCGTCTGCCTTCGGCTCAGGTTGTGATCCTAGGGTCCTGGGATCGAGCCCCATGTCAGGCTCCCTGCTCCGCAGGAGGCCTGCTTCTCCCTCTCCTGCTTCCCCTGCTTGTGTTCCCTCTCTCGCTGTGTCTCTCTCTGTCAAATAAATAAATCTTTAAAAAAATAAATAAAATGTGTTTATTTATATCATTAATAATATTTACGTATTAGTCTATCATCTAGAAGGTTTGAACCATTCTGACCTTTGAGATCTGGTGTGAATTAGTACAGTGCGCTGTCCCTGTCCCAGAACCTAGCAAAAATTGGCTGCCTTCTAGGAGTGAGAAGTTGGAGTAGCAACAGAAGGAAGATGATGTGGTGCATAAAAAATAACCTGAAGGATAGGCTCGGCGAGGCCAGAGTGGTGTGTTGGAGACACACCCGTTTTAGAACATCTATGTCAGCCAGTAAACTTTGTCAGATTTTTAATGAAAAGCAAGCTGTCTGCTCAGCCTTGAACCGACAGCTTTCTGGCCATCACCAGGAGAATGGTGGAGATCACTGATGATTTTTCGAAGAATTCTCGCAAGGGGCCACCAGTTTCTCTCAGCTATGTCTCAGCCTTCACCGGAAAATGCCCTTCTTGGACCGTGTTAGCTTAGCTCCTGTCAGAGGCCTTCCCAAGCCTACGACTTGATCTTGGTGGCCATTACAGAAGCAAATTTGTAAAGAATGTCCTTATGGCCCAGATAGTTACATTGCTTCACACTGCTACCTTCTGTAGGTCATGTGTCCATTTCTCTTAGAAATTGCTTCTCTCCCAGCAAATTTTAATGTTTTCTTCATCAGGCTGTGGAAACTTAAAAGAGCCCAGCATGCCTCCCATTTTGCCTTGGACAGGAAGTTCAGAGCTAATTAGTTCTTCTTATACATGTTTATTATGTTAAGCTTACCTCTAAATCTATTAGAACACATATACACTCTAAATAAATAAAAATAATACTTAAATTTTTGCCCAGGGTTAACCTTGAGTTTAAGAATAAAGAAGATGATTCATATCACCCTACTCACCCTAGAGCTTAGGCAAATCGCTCAGTCCTGCTGCCCTGCAGTGGGCTAGTGGATTTTTAAAAGCAACCCAGGAACTTAGCCCTGGTTCATTTCATGGTTTCTGTCAGACAAATGTGCAGACCCTTGGACATTTTAAGTCTGAGGCCTTTCAGAATCTCCACATTAAGAATCCCGCTAGTAGTCCAGATGCTGGAAGAGACTCATTCACAAGCAAAATGACTGCATTTAGCAGCCCCCAAAGCAGCATGTTTGTGCTAAAGGCTTTATACATACCATGTGAGGTAGGTGCTCCCACCCATTCCATAGTATCAAAAAATGGACCTCAGTTCATTGTCAGCACTCAGAATAGCAAAGCATAAATCTGCAAGTGCTGAGTGTCTCCTGAACAGTCTTGGAAACATTTGGAAAGCAGTCAGTGTTAAGTTAGGACCATGACTACATAGTGTCTGAGGAAGCCGGATTAGAAAAACATAAGCAGTGGAAATTATAGTATGATCAGTGACTTCTACTCTCTGCTCCAAAACAAAGGCATAAATTTGAATTTTCCATCCATGATTGTCTTTCAGTTCTTTAGAGCTCCCTTATACCCCCCCATTGGAAAGTAAACAACGCAGAAATCTCCCAACCAAGATTCCTCTTCCAACTGCATTGACAAGTGGATCCAAATCACGAAATTCCCAGAAAACAAAAGGTATTTTCATTTCACCATATGGATATTTTCATGATTCATTGTATTAGTAATTATTAGTTGTGAGTTACCAGTAATCAATTAGTAGTTATCAGTCCTATAAAAGGCTACAGTGGTGTTCTCATCCTCAGTAGAAGGTTCATTGAAACAGACCTGAAAGGGCGCCTGGGTGGCTCAGTTGGTTAAGCGACTGCCTTCGGCTCAGGTCATGATCCTGGAGTCCTGGGATCGAGTCCCGCATCGGGCTCCCTGCTCAGCGGGAGCCTGCTTCTCCCTCTAACCCTCCCCCCTCTCATGTACTCTCTCTCTCATTCTCACTCTCTCAAAATAAATGGATAAATCTTAAAAAAAAAAAAAAAAAACAGACCTGAAAGAAAGGAATTATCCTCCATTAATTTTTTTTTTTTCCTGATTTTTGTGCAGGTACAAATAAGTTAGTGGATAACAGGCCACCCACCCTAGCAAAATTCCTCCCAAATAGTCAAGAACTAGGCAACACCAGTAGCTCAGAAGGTGAAAAAGACTCTCCACCACCAGAGTGGGATTCCGTGCCAGTTCACAAACCCGGCAGCTGTAAGTATGGGAATTTAGAAACCATGGCGCCCCACTCTGGGCAGGAAAACTCCACGGGGCATATTGCTTTGAAAGGAGGCCTGGTATCTGTGGTCTGCTGGAGCCCACTTGTACCAGCCAGCCAAAGCCCATTGTTCAATAGTCTGCCATTGGTGAAAGTTGTTTGTTTGGCCCGTGGGGGAAGTGTTTACACCAGAGAAACCAGTAGACAGTTCACATGAGGGCTCTTTTCCCAGAGCTGGTAGACCACACCACTTCCCAGTGTACAAAATGGGGGGAAGATCTGTCTGGAGTGGTGAATCATCCAAAGAAATACTTCTTTATGAAATCATTAACTCAGCCATTTTTTAGCTGACTAGTTCTCCATACATTTACAGTGTAATAATCATTTTTGTAAAAATTCAGTCTTCCTTCAATTTGACCCACATCTTTTACATAAACAGCCTGTGTGAAGGTTTCATTATTTTATTCACTAGTTTCTTTACCTTGTTTGTCAGACTTGGCCTACAGTAAATCATGACAGTAGCACAGGCTACTAAAATAAGATAGAGGTCCTCGCCAGAGATACTTAGGACCCAAAATAGAAGACAACAGAGACAAGCCAAGGGAGCGGCCTAATTATAGGGGTTGGGGGTCAAGAGAGGACCAGTGGAGCACTGATTCATCTACGGTGTTAGAGTGAACTCACACTTAAGACAGTTTGTGCCAAACGGAAAATCACAGTTGAACAAACGATCGTTTGGGGTAAAGGGGGATTTAAATGACGAGTGGGTGATTGAAGCCCTCAGTAAGGTGAAAGAGGAAAAGAACTTGGAAATCCAGGTGTGGTGTACATAAAGCATGGCACCTTTTACATTTTCACTGGAAAAAGACGCTTTCTGTGTTAAAACCTGTAGCCCCTTATTTGCCGTGAGACTTTTCTGGCCCTTTTTAATGCTATGTTTTGCCTGTGATGAGATACAAATCCAAATCCCTGGTCATTCAAGAGATCATGAATGAATCTCTCAGTAGTCCCGGTGTCCAGGCTGGATGTTTTTTGTTCCTTAGATTCCCCTCTCAGCTTTCAGCTGGACGCTGGTCCTTGGCTTCTTGGTGATCTGGGCCGTTCTGTATTAAACAACCATCACCCCCGCCACAGAGTGAGGTTTTCAGCTTTGGGGAGACAGGGTTCCCAGGGAGCCAGTTTCATAGGGTTGTCTGCGGCCCAGTAAAGTCAGCATAAACTCTGCTGCTGTGAGTAACAACACGTGGTACAGGAAAGAGGGGACATCAGCCGGACACAGCCTTCAAGACCAGATAGCTGGCTGTGACAGTGTCACCACCAAGTGGCCCCTGAGGAACATGCTGGCATCACTCCTTTGGGATGGAGGAGAAAAAGACCAGATCCAACCCCATGTGAGTTTGGCGCCACAGCTCACGAGGGGAGGAATGTGAGAAATGCCAGGCAAATGGTCTGGAGTAGAAAATGTTTGGAAAGCAGAATGCTGCGGGCCTCTGTTTCCTCCCCAGGCCCATCCGAGAAGGCCAGCCAATGTCTCTTGGAGCCCAGTGCCTCAGGGCAGCGCTCCCTGTCATACAGCTAGATGGCTTTGCCACTGGGAAAAGTGTGTACTCGCTCCGAGGCCCACATCTGCATAATTATTTTGTGCTTTTCCAGCCAAGGAATATCTTACCCTGGTCCCACATCCTGTAACCTCTCTGCTCTCTCCACCAGCCTTACTAGAAAGTTCTACAGGGCTCCACTATATGCACAAAATTGCTACATGAAACCATTAAGAATCGGTCTAATACACTTCCTCCCCCCCTGCTTTCTTTTCTCCCTTCTCCACCCTTCACTGATAATTGATCTGGCTGAGACCTCTAGCCTCCAAACCCTCTGTTAGCAGTGCTTCACTTCCTAGGCTTCCCAGCGGGCTAAAGCATCTCTCACCCGGGGCTGTGCGAGCCTGCTCCTCGCTGGGAATCCATGTGGAGAGATCACTCTACCCCCAGGCAGCACCCCTTATAGCATGGTGCCCTGTGCCCTTAGGAGATGCTGAGAGAATTCTCTTGGAATAATGTCATGACTTTAAAAGACAACAAATCCAAGGGGTTATTGAAAGGCAAATAGAAAAGTTCTCTAGTTACACATGCCCTATGCTATTCTTGGTCACCTCCTACCCGCCCCCCATCTTCTCTTTTTACTTCAGGCATTAGTCCATAAGGTCTTTTTCTGACTTTTCTTGACTTCCCGTGTTGCATTCCAACATTTACTAAGTGTTTCTGCAGCTACTGGGCCCAGTGAAACACATCCCACTAAAGGAGAGCCACAGAGGGATGCAGCGCGTGCTCCCCCAGGACAGGCACCCGGGCGAGCAAGCACCACAAGGCCGAGTACGGCCTGTCCCACCATGGACAGTTCCCAGCTCACTTCTTGGGAGCAGGGGGGAGAGTCAGAGAAGGTGTCATACAAGGGGTGGCTAGGGAAGGGTCGGGACAGTTGTACAAATAATGGCCCTACCATGTAGAGGTGATATCAGACACACTGCTGTAGGGGCTTCCGAGGCAGGCCAAAAGGTGGAGAGCTTGGAGATGGGCCCTGAACATGGGCATCGAGTCAGCAGACTACAGAGCATATAAGAAAGGGATTAGCCACATACTCAAGGGTGAGAGCTGGTGGAGCAGAGACAAGGACGGGGAATAAGGGGCCAGCACCCCTGAGGAACATCAGAAGCCTGGGGTAGGTGCAAAGTGGCCCTGGAGATGGGGAATGAACGGCTTCAAGAAGAAGGGGGCTTAGCATGTCAGTGCCGTATCTGCTGCCTTGACACAGCCAAGGAACATGCAGCTTCACCCAGCCCCAGAGCCCTGGGGCCTTGGGGAGAACCACAGGGGTGGGGGAGAGAGAAGTGGAACCACCGTGGTGAGCAGGCTTCAGTTCTTTCCGGAGGTGAGATGAAACAGACACACAGTGGGAGTAGAGCAGGCTGTCCTCGCTGTAGACAGGGCTTACATGGGGCAGGAGGGGCCGTCAGGCGGGGATGAGGTGGGAATGTGCTAAGGTGGAAGGACTGTGTTGGGCAGGGATGGGAAAGGAGGATGACAAGACGGGGCACTTGTGCCAGGATAACTGTGGGTAGGTGCCCAACCTCATGCCTCGGGAGCCCCTGGAGACTGAGCTTGCAGAGGCCAGAGCCCCTTCCTTACACCTCTTTGTACCGCAGTGGCTGGCACAGGATAGCACCCCGCTGGTGGATGCGCCAGATGATGCCGTTTTCTGAAAGAAGTTATGTGTGTTTCCTCTTAGTGCAGAATAAATATTTCACAAGTTTTTTTCTGTTTTAAATTTTTCAAACAGCCTTGTACACATTATCCTGAAGGGCAGCAGGACTCTTGTAGGAGCTCGTATCCTTGTGGAGTGGGTTGGCAACGCCCCAGGCGTGCCCGCGGGGTGCAGGGCAGGGTCAAGCTTAGGTCTCAGGATGGTTCCGCGCGCTGCCCCGCACCTGCTGCAGGTGTGAGCCTGGGTGGAAGTACAGGGACTCTTTCCCATCCCAAACACTGATTTTTCCCTGCCCGTCCCTGAAGGGTGAGGTGGGAGAAACTGCCCAGGAGGGTGCAGCAGAGCACCGAGGAGAGAGGAGGCATTCTATCAGAACATCAAAAGTAATGTCAAGAGTAAAAATCAAGGGGCACCTGGGTGGCTCAGTTGGTTAAGCGACTGCCTTCAGCTCAGGTCATGATCCTGGAGTCCCGGGATCGAGTCCCACATCGGGCTCCCTGCTCAGCAGGGAGTCGGCTTCTCCCTCTGACCCTCCCCCCTCTCGTGCTCTCTCTCTCTCATTCTCGCTCTCTCAAATAAATAAAATCTTTAAA